GACTAAGTTTGGTCAACCAAGCCAATCTCTTAGGGCGCACTTCCCAAATTCTTCCCAAAGTTTCTTTGGAGTCGGTAAACTTTGGGTTGATTTTCCCTTCTTATTGAATTTCATCTCCTCTTTAGTGAATGAAATTCTTAGTAAGACTTCATGTCTTCCCCGAGGTTCGACTAGTTGTGCCTTTTTGTGTTACTTTTAATGGTGAGGGTGTCCTTGCATGCTCTTTTTCTTTTTGAAGCGCAGTTGGTTACCTAACCTCGTTGTGGAATGACTCGGTGACTTTACGAGTCATCTCATTTCCTTGTGGGTCCTTAATGACCCTTGAGATCTTGGCACAAATGTGCTTTTCACATTTTGCCTAGCACCACGGACTACGTAGTTCTTGATTCCATACAACTTGTAAGGAGTCCTCTGATTTGCTTGAACGATATCCATGGTTTGAAGGAGTCCCGGTCCATCCTTAGCATTTTGACTTTTAAGTTCTTTGTGAGTCCTTAGCACGAGTTCCCAACTCGCCTCCTTGGTTTGCACAATCCTTTATGCCAATCATCCCTAGTCGGTTGCATCGTAGAGTCCAACTTCAACCCCACGTGTAATGCAATTGGTTGTGCTTTTCCGATGGTGTCTTGCGTGTCAAGGTCTTTTACCGAAGACACCATGTTTGGGCGACCCATGGTTCTTTACCCAAGACTCGCGTTCATCAATCGAGGCACACAAGTGCGCCATGAATCAATAAAGTGAGGAGTTAAGAAATCAGCACATTGTACCAGTGGGCGCGAGGTGGGCGGTCGTCCGCCTGCCAAGCTCCTGTTGGGAACCCGCGGGAAGGTGACTAGGAAGAGTGAATTCCTTCGGGGAAAATCCCTAGAATGCACAGATTCAAGTCCCGACAAGCCCCATGTCCATGTGCACAATAGAAGGGACTTGAATATATAGGGTGGCCCATCGTATAGTTTTATTGATCCTTAGGTACGAGTTTATAAATGAGTCAAGACTCTCGCATGTTCTTTTTGCTCAGTAGGTCGGGTCCGGTTTCCAATTAGCAACCTCGTCACCTTCACCGGGTGGTTGATTATAAGCCAACTTTGTCTTTGCCTTGCTTGATTAATGATAAGCCTTCTTGGTTTTTCTTGGATTTCGGCTTGTCGCTCGTTCTTTGTTTAGTCCTTTGGTGACCAAGTGCTTGGTGATGCATTTCTCTTCCTTGGAATGCATTGATTGACTGCCTTTGACGTCGCATGGTGTTTTGGTGATTTTGTGTGTTACATGTACTTCTTACGGTGTCATAAAACCATCAAGGTCCTTGTTCCCAGGTAAGACCCTTATCGCCGGGAGGCTCTAGTTGTATGATACTTTCCATGCGTCTGTTGCCTCTTCTTGTCATATCGAGTCCTTTTCAACAATTCGTGCTAACGATTGAGAAAAGACGTTGTTTATGTACTACTTTTCTTTCTTGCATTTAATTGGCGTTCCCGATCTCCGGGCTGGGATAGTTGCGCCCATTCTTAACCAGTTTCGGAAGGGTTCGCTCATGCTGGAGGGAGCGGTCTCCCACTTCCGTTACTCCTTCCTTCGGGTTTGTCCCTAAATTCCCCGTTTGGTCGAAGTTGGCATTACTGGTGTAGGCTTCGTTGGGTGTGCGGGGTTTGCTTACAATTAGGGCCTTCTGGGTTTCGTAGTTGTGGTCTGTCACAGACTTCTTTATCTTGGTTGTCTCTGTAGGATCTAATTCAGGCGCGAAACGAGCCAGCTGGAGGGATCGTTTGTGGTATTCCCTGATGGTGGTCATCCCTTGTTTTAGGTGGAGGATTTTCCTCGTACATGGTTGCCCTTACAGGTGCGGGGTGGAATCGTCCTTGTAGCCGTGCCCCTAGGCACTCCTAGTTGAACCCCTGGTTGTTGCCCATAAGTGGGTTCTTCGTGGATTTATCAAAGATCAGCCTCGTGTCTTGAAGTGGAATGAGGCTATCCCTACGCGGCGTTCCTCTGGGTATTCCACTAACCCGAGGACTTTGTTGAAGGTTCGGGTTCATTCTTCGAGGAGTGTGAGATCCTTGACTGTCTTCTTGTTGGCGCCATGCTGCTGGTTTTCAGGGTCAATATTTATTGTATCGATGAGTCAGTGTGCTGCACCCTTACCTTGGTGTGGTAAGCGTAGGGGGAAGTTATTTTAAGTTAGAGAGGGATAAGGTGAGGGGAGGTTACGTGTAGGTTTCACAATCTCACCGCGCTTCCTAAGATTCCTGAATCCTATGTTCCTAAGTACCTAGAGTTCAAGCCTAATGTCCTAAAGTCCGGTCTTAAGAGTCTTATCCTAGGGTCAAACTTAGGCTCTGATACCAACTGTAACACCCCAGATTTTTAAGACTTTTAAAGACTTATATAATAAAGGTATTCTATTATTAAATCTCAAACAGAGCATTGTTAAACATAAAGGTACGGGGTGTTATGCCACACCTGAGCTGGAGAACTCAGATGCACAGGCTAACTAACTAAATTCTATAATAAAGTAAATGGCACGCAGGCCGAAAGGGAAACTATCTACACTACGCCTCGAATCTCTAGCGCGCTCCGGTGTCTACTCATCAGTGCCTGAAAGCCAAATATATATGTTCAGCCAGGAAATAGTCACGTGGCTTGGGTCGTGCACGTATTTGTTCCCCCGATCCCCGTGGTGTCCCAACGGACTCCGTCTATCGTGCCTATGTCTAGTTTGATATTTCGGGTACCGTTCGTAGGTTGTATGAGTCTTATATATTGCATGCTAGTTGAATTGGTATCCCGTTGACCTAGGTGAAAGAAGTATGAACCCCTTAGGATTATTCTTTGTATGTGAATGATCACGCATAGGTTTTGTTGAGACATGGGTTACCTCTTAGCCTTAATTAATTCCTTGGCAATGAAGGGTCTTTCTTTAAGCCTTCTTCTTTCTTGATTTCTCCTAAGGGGATTCTTGGAACTTCTTGTGTGGTGAGAGATTATGGTGGTGAAAGATCTAGGTGCCTCCTATATCCCTATTTATATATTTAAGACTCCTAATTAGGGTCTGAATGATATGCGTTTACTAATTCTATTCCTTATAGAACTAAGGGTTTATTTTAGGGATAAGGGTCCATGATCCATAGTGGACCATATTAATTAATTAAAGGGAATCCTAATCATAGTCTGAATAGTAAAAGGCCTACTTCCTTTATTCCTAATAGATAACTAGGTCTAGGATTCCTAATTAGAATCTGAATAGTAAAGGGTTTACTTTCTTTATTCCTAATAGGCTTAGGACTCTAATTTAGGCAAGGGTCCACGGTTCATGGTGGACCTTATTAATTAATTAAAGGAAACCTAACCGAATTAAATCATATTTAATTATTATTAACGGGATTAATTAAATAATTAATCCGGGATTGAAGGCCGTAACACGGGGTGTTACAGTCGTCTCAACCGTCTTGGACCACAACGTACGCCGCGAGACTCAGACAACGCGGACACCGGACCATTTGGCCGAGCACGAAGCTCGGCCAAGTGGCCGACCTTGATGTGGCCGACCCCGGGGTGGCCAACCTCGGGGTAGCTGACTACACCATGGCCGACCTCTGCTATGGTCTGCCTTGGTGGACGTCGGCCATGGTTTGCCCCGATGGACCTCAGCCATGGTCTGTCTTGATGGACCTCGGCCATGGTCTTCCTTGGTGGACCTCGACCATGGTTTGCCTCAGTAGACCTCGGCCATGGTCTGCCTTGATGGACCTCGGCTATGGTCTGCCTCGATGGACCTCGGCCATGGTCTTCCTTGGTAGACCTCGACCATGGTCTGCAACGATGGACCTCGGCCATGGTCTGCCTCAATGGACCTTGGCCATGGTCTACCTTGGTGGACCTCGGCTTAGGTCCGGGTCCAGTGCTTCGGGCTTTGTCCGCTCCATATTATTACGCTTCGGGTCCATTTGTAATTATTCCATCATTAGTCCCCCACTCTCTGAGCTGCTAGAAGTAGTCAGGGAAAGAGAGTACTCTTACTCCATGACCTTGGACAACACGACTCTACCCCCTCCAAAACACAGCATCGAAGTCACACGCGCATATGTATATTTTCCTCCAATTGTTTGCGCTTACATCTCTTTGCACTGCGTGAGTGAGCTCCAAAGTTTAGGGTCTGACCTCCAACAAGTACAAGGATCTGAGATCCACACCTTACTCGGATCGGGCTCCAAACATGAGGTCCAAACTTCCACGGGTGCAAGGACTCGAGCTCTGGGGCCCTTCGTGCTGAGCCTTTCCACTTGAGCTCCATGCGTCGAGCTCTTCAACTTGACCTCCTTAACCTGGACCCCTTGACAAGCTCTTCAACTTGGGCTCCTCGCAATGAACTCTTTTAACATGAGCTTGCTGGGATGACCTTTTGGATTTGAACTCCTCACCTCGAGGTACTTGGGTGAGCTCTTCGATATGAGTTCTCCACGATGAGCTCTTTAACTCGGACTCCTTAACTTTAACACCTTGAGATGAGGTCCAACCTCAAACAAACGCAACGACTTGGACTTCGCTTAGGATGAGTTCTAAGGCTTGAGGTCCAACAAAAAACAAACACAAAAGCTTGAGCTCTGCTACGGACGAGCTCTAAGGCTAGAGGTCCAACCTCAAACTCAAAGGCTTGGACCCCGTTTCGGATGAGCTCTAAGGCTTGAGGTCCAGACTCAAACTCAAAGGCTTGGACCCTGCTTCGGATGACCTCTAAGGCTTGAGGTCCAACCTCACCAAATACGAAGGCTTTGGCCTCACTTCGGATGACCTCTAAGGCTTGAGGTCCGACTTCAACAAACGCAAAGGGTGGACTCCCTTCCAGATCACCTACAAGGATTGAGGTCCACCCTCAACAAACGCAAAGAGTTGGACTCCACTCTAGATGACCTCCGAGGCTTGGGGTCCAACATCAACAAACGCAAATGCTTGAGCTCTTCTCCAGACGAGCTCTAAGGCTTGAGGTTGGAGTTTTGCCACAGCTCCTAATCAAACCAAACCTTCCGTTCGGTGATAGGTGAGGTCGGAACACGTATCGCCCCTTTGGTGTTAGTGGTTTCAGGTCGAAGTCCTTCGACTTTGGACCCAAAAGCTCTTCTGTTTGGTGATAGGTGAGGTTGGACCTCGTATCGCCCCTTTGGCGTTAGCGGCTTTAGGTCGAAGTCATTCGACATTGGACCCAAAAGCTCTTCCGTTTGACGATAGGTGAGGTCGGACCTTGTATCGCCCCTAGGGTTCCAGTTGTTATATGTCGAAGTCTCTCGACTTTGGACCCAATGTTGAATGGACCATTCGTTGCAAAGGTTGAATGAACCATTTGATGGACCATTCGTTGCAAGGTTGAATGGACCATTTGATGCACCATTTGTTGCAAGGTTGGATGTACCATTTGATTGACCATTCGCTGCAAGGTTGAATGGACCATTCGTTGCAAAGTTGAATGGACCATTCGTTGCAAGGTTGGATGGACCATTCGTGGAGAGGTCAGCCGGACTATGCTCGAGTCCCCCACTCCCTTCTCCCATCTTCAAATAGGAGTAAAATGGGTGCGTGACGAATTTTGCTACTTTTATTACAAGAATAAACCATAAGGGGCCGGACCGCCTTAGTATCTGAATCATTGAAAAATTTGAGCAAGCGCTTAGAGTTCCAAACTCGTCATACGAATTTCTTCTTTGGGGTCTTGAGCCTGTAGTTGCGAATGACCTTAATGATCCAACCTCGGAGGTCGGCCGGGAGCCCTATTCCCACCTTTACCACCTTATCAGGTCGGCTAAGGTCCAAAACTACCTTTTCAGTCTCCACTATAGGTTTGGCTCGAGGTCATTTTTCCTACTCTTGAAGTGCCTTCTCGACTATGGTGTGGACCTGGAGGTCTCTCTACCTGATTTGGCGGCAAACCCTCAAGTAGCAGCTACGACTTATCTTTTGGTCCCCTCGAGCAACACCAACCCCTGTTGGGGTGGGAAATTTGAGGCATAGGTTGTAACACCCCTAATAATACTAGATAAGTATGATACTAATTCGTCATGCATAATTAACCCACTTAGCTTAGCATAAAAACGTACCAAAAGATAGTAATGTGCTAGCTAGATATTATGTACACCAAAAAATGTATCAAACAATTTTTACCTCCCTCTTAGCTTCGCATTGATGTACGCCCTTAACTTCTTGAAATCATTTTCATGGCTTTAGTTTTGGTACGGGGCTGTCACTTGTCCAATCACGTAATTGCCGTAGGCTTCCCTTATGCTTTCTCCTCTCAAAACGCCTGCTTCATGCCAAGTGATGCACTCATCAAACAATTGGCCATCACACATTTGCTCACTCCGATCTCCAAACTTGGTTTGTAGCTCTTGCAACTTTTACATCCTAGTGGCAATTGGCTTTGGCAATGGTGCAATCAGCGTGGACTGTGGAACACCTTGTGGGGTTGAGCTTGAGCTAGCATGTGTACCCCTTAGATAATCTATCATGCTTCCTCCACGACCTAGGTCTCGACCTCTACTTGATTCTCCTCCTCTAGATGTTGTTGACCGAATGAGCTCAACAATAACTGGTCCAATCGGCTGTGGTGCATAGAAAGGGGATACTGTAACACCCCCTAAAAACAAGCTATTTAAAAGCTTTAAACATGCAGATAACTGAGCTAAACCACAAACACAGCAGAAGACTGAAAGATAACTAGATAAACATAATCCGAAACATGGGGTGTTATGCCACGTTCACCAAAAGGATGAACGCTACGACAACATCTGCAATGTTTACATCTAAACCATATTCTCAAAGTGCTACATCTAAACTGGCACACAGGCCACAAAACAAAGAGGGAGAAGCTATACTAGCAAGCACTAGACCGCGCACTTGCATAGACATCACCTGAAAGAACACAATAAAACATGGGACGACGCCCGGTCAGCGAATAATGCTGGTAACCCACCAATACATGTGAAATAACATACATAGATAAGATATAAGTTGTAAAGCCATTTTCGAAATGGAATACATAAGTATATAAGTACAAAACCAAGAGGGCAATAGTCAACACAAGACTCAACACTCTCAACAAGGATACGGAAACACATCCCAAAACCACAAAGGATAACCACAACACAAAGGATAAAGACAAGACCGATGGCAACACATGCCCTTGTGACTACACACGTCATAAGAAGAGAACTCACAACAACGGCTACACAAGCCCTCGTGACATCACCCATCACGAGTTGATATGCCTTCCTTATGCCCGGTTCCAACCTTATGGCTACCCCCAACCTTATTTCTTCTTCCAACCATTACCTCCAGGACCCCTGTACTTCTTAGTCCAACCTTTTCCCCCTGGGACCGTCGTCCCCCCACCAACGACCAACAACGAGACCACCAATTTCATAGTACACGAGGGTACCGTACACACACACGGCAACACATGCCACCCAAGAATCACGTGAACCTTACACAAAGGTCACAACTCCATAATCACGTCACGGCCACCACGAGGACCGCTGCAATACCTTGGTGACTAGTGTCCCATACCACTAATCGTGCAATCCAGGTAAAGTCGCACACACACATCACACCACAACATGAATCAATCAATGGATCACAACGAAGATATGAAACTATACTCAATCAAGGAATGGGTCACAGCCCAACACCAACAACGATGAATAACACAAGTTATCATCAACCAATAGGAAGGTACAAACAACACACATGCTAGCATTTAAAACCCCGAACTAGCATGCTCATCAAACGGGTAAACCAAACGTAGTTCCGAAGAACACACAAGACTCATCACGGTTCAACGAAACACAATGTTGAACACTTACCACGATTCACGACACCAAATACCTACATGGGTTCCTACCATATAGTTCTAGACATACGAAACATCAAGAAGACACTCAAATAGTTCCACAAAATAACATCGGGAAGTCCAAAGACCAAATACCGAGTCAAAAGAATCACTGGGAACGAATCTCCGCCAAACCACAATACGTACCCCGCGGGTGGGCCCACGGGTAGGCCCTTACCCGTGGTCTTGCCCGCGGGTACAAGCCTTCCACAACGTGTACCCTGCGTGTGGGCGGCGGGTGGGCCTCTTACCCGCCGTTCCGCCCGCGGGTACAATCCTGTACCACAACAAAACACTTCGCAGATTTTCATCTCCAAACTCAAATTCAAGTCCAAAACATGCCAAATCTCACCAAACACAACAAAATGACTTAAATCAAACGAAATGCCAAGGAATGGCACAAATGAACCCTAAACACAAGCTCTAGATATGCATTTTCACAAGACAATGCATAAACACTCACATTCCATAGCAAAAACACATGTAGAATCCAAGAAATCATCATATAGGTAAGCAAAATAGATTTTGTAGAGCATGGGTTACCTCTTGTAGACTAAAGACTTCACTTTACACCTCAACAAGCTCCTCTCAAGGCTCACCTTCCAAACCCACTTCAAGAACATACCAAAAGATCATAAAGATCCTATCTTTAAGAAAAGACACCTTAGATAAAACCAAAAACACAAGATGAACTTAGATCTTACCCTCCTAGATGCCCAAATATATGAAAGGTTGAATCTTGGAAGAAACTCTTGATGTTTTGGCAAAGCTTCAACTTGGCTTGGAAGAAAAACTACTCACTTTTTTAGAGAGAATATGGAGCTAGATTTTTAGAAAAGTGTAAGGAGAGAATGAAGGTGGTCTACTAGGTTACAATACCAACAACAAGTGAAAGGTCAAGAATACCCTTACTAACATAAGGAAGTGTAAGGAACAAGGGAACTCCTTACAAAGCTCAATGTACAACTTTGACTCTGGGGTTGACTAGTCAATTACTAGTCCCTAACTATAAAATTTCAGGAATTTAAGGAATTAAATTACAAATTGAAATAGGATTAATTATTTAATTAATCCCTTAATTGAATTTGGATTTCGGGGTGTCACAGGTACAAAATTACTTGCAAGTCTTTCCCCCTTTTCAGCAGCATCAACAAACTTTTGAAAGTTATCCGAAGCGATGACTTGATTTTGTCGAACTCCATCAAGCAAATCTTTGTTGATATTGGTTTGTTGTAGGAGTCTTTTCATTTGTTGCTCCAACAACTTTAGCCTAGAATTGGTTTCGATGCCCAACTTGCCCATTTCAAGAAACATCTTCAATATTTCACTCCGTAACTCCTCTTTGGCCGTATCAATCTCATGTTTAAAGAGTCCTTGCCTATTAAACAATTGCTCGGCACGATCAAACATGGCTTTGTGATAGTCATCAAGTTTGTGATCCATGTTGTCAATTTTGCTATCCAATCCTCCTGTTAATTCTTGAACTAGCAATTTTATATCACCCGCAATTTCCTCTCACAAAGATTGAGTATTGAAAGGTACTTCGGGTTGTGTTGGAGGCGTAGGATTCGGCAAGGAGTCAAATAACTCATCATGCGGAGTGGCAATCATTGCTTCGGCTAAGCTTGGTTCGACATTGGTCTCATTGGTGTAGCAAATCATCAAAGGTGTAGTGTTTCTTCGATTTTCTTGGTCATAAATATCACACCTTGTTGGCAAAGTTGGAAAATTGTTTGCTTCATTCAAATTCAAGGACACTTGATTTCTTGGTTCACTAACATCTTCATGAATTGATCCCGTAATCTCCGTAGCGGGATGAGGAAAATAGGATTCATAGCTCAAATTCTCATCACCAAATGTAGCAGGGTACAGGTCCAACTCCGGCAAGCCTACATCATCAACTCTTGCCATTGATCCTTCACCGGGAGCTCTTCGAATTTCTTCCAAGGAATTGATAGTAGCTCGGCGAACATCATTTGGATCAAATTCTCCAAGAGGTGCATCCGGTGCGATTTCAACAACCACACTCTTTTCTGTCCTTCTCTTCTGTGCAACCTTAGTCACAAAACAAGTATTAATCACAGATAATCTCTTGGCCTGCGCAAGGTCACGAGTTCCTAAACAACTTAGAACAAGTTCTTCTCTTTCCAAGGTATTCGGCCCAATGGTTTCGGCCAGTTTATTGTGATCAGACAATCTCCAAGATCTCCATGCTCTTGCACGCTCAAACTCCTCAAGCAACACACTATCCGCTCCAAGAGTTGGTACATCATCCACACTACCAACCTCTACTCTATCAACCGGCAAAGGTGGATTGTTTGGGTTTAAGGAATTGATGATGGATGAGGGTACATATGGTATAGGGTGGATTGAAGCATCTTCGTTTGATCTTATGGCGGGGGTGTTGGGTCCCTCATTACTCGCCTCGCGAATAATGGGTCTAAGAGTTATGGAGGGTTTTGAGGGTTGGGGGTTTTTCTTTTTCGAGAGGGTTTAGGTACGGTGGGGGCTTTGGATTCGGTGGTGTTGGGTTTAAAAAGATAGTTTTGGTTTAGGACAAGTTTGGCTTTGGATAGGGGTAAATTTTTTGTTCTTAGGATCTCCCCAACTGCAAAACCATAACCAACCTCCTGTTGGAACCATCCCTCCACCAACAGTTTGGCTTTCTCA